CTATAAAAAGGAAGCACAAGAGCCATAGCATTCAATCCTCCAACACTATCTCCCACTTCCCAAAAAAAAAAAGAATGAATGTTAATAATTTCGTGGTTGTCACTCTTTATCCGAATGGAGAGATGGGGCGCGACAAAGATGGCATCTGGTTTCGTTCCCCCACTCCAGTAGTGTTCCAGATGTATCTAGTTGGTACCCTGGATGAGCTGAAATCAGTCATCCTGCGCAACATGGGGTTGGGAGCTGTTGGAACGTCGTTAGTGAGACGGGTTGCATATCGCCTTCTTAACGTCTTTCCTCCCGATCCATTCAAATTCAAGATTTTCTGGGTTGATAGTGATGAGCATGTGCATGTTCTGTTTGACATGCACCGTAGGTACGGGACTCGTGAAGTGATGGAGCTGCTAACGGAGATGCAGAGCATGCCGGATGTTGGGGGTTCGTCTAGTTCGAACGGGGTGATACCGTGCTCGCCCATTCACTGTCCGGGGTCGGAAGTGCCTTTGCCGATGGATGGTAATTCCGGGGACTCTGATGAAGAATTTATTCCCGATATCGAGGAGAGTAGCGAAAGCTCAGACGGCTCGGAGTTCGTGCCGGAGTCTCAATCGAGAAGAGGGTTTTTGCTCCCAGCACCCGCCCCGATTCCGGATCTATCGTCAATCAACAGTCATTTCCACACATTGAGGGTTGGTCCGTACTACAACGGTGACATCGTAGACCAGGAGAGTTGCCAGTTCAACAAGGTGTTTTGGACTTTCCCAGCATGCGTCGAGGGTGTCAAACACTGCAAGCCGTTTGTGTCTGTTGATGGCACCCATCTGTATGGGAGATATGGCGGGGTCTTGCTGATGGCGGTTGTCCAGGATGGTAACAACAACATATTCCCAGCAGCATTCGCCATAGTTGAGTCAGAGTCGACCGAGTCGTGGTCCTTCTTCCTGAAGAACCTGAGGACCCATGTCATAACGAAGGAAGGCGTTCTTCTGATATCAGATAGGTCGCCCGCGATCCGTGCTGCATTAGAGGCTGATGACAGTGGATGGTGTCCTCCGAGTGCCCATCATGCAATATGCGTGCGTCATCTGGCAAGTAACTTCATGAGTAAATTCATCCGGAATGAGATGGACTTGGTTGAGCGTCAGGAAAAGAGATGTGGGCTATGCAAACAGATTGGTCACAGCCGTCGTGGATGCCCAAATGCGGCCCATCCCGAGGATAACTAGTTTATTATCGTTTGTCATAGTTGGTTGGTTTAATATAGTTCATTGTTGTTTTATGTTAACTTAGGTGGTCATCCATCAAATGTAATAGTCACTCTTTGGGTTATAATTGTTTGTGATGATGTATTTCTTTTATTTTCCGAAGTCTAATGAAATATTATATGCGCAAATTAACCGAGTGAAATTGGGGGCGTCAAACTATAATTAAATAACATCCAACACATATAACAAATTGCAAGTTTCTTCCATCATCGAATACTTAAATATATAACATGTCCTACTAAATACAAATACAAATAACCAATTACATATCCTACTAAATACAACATAACATCGAATACTTAAATACATAACTACTATTGGGTCCCACGTCCGTGCAAGTGACCACCAGTGCCACATGCGAGAGGCCTAACAGTCCTCTGCCTCCTACGTGGAGGAGGTGCAGGTGCGGGCTCGGCAGCGGTCGAAGGATCCTGATCATGGACAGGCTGGGTGACTGTCGGGACTGGAGCATTGAAGTGCTGCGGCGTGCTGACGTGGCTGTGGTACGAAGTGGGTGCGTCGTACGAAGGCAGTGTGGCCCACTCATGTCCTATGCGAGCAGGATCAAACACCGGGTATCCAACTACAGGAGGGGAGGAATAGGTGGGGACCCACGTGCCATGCTCGGGCTGAGTCGTGGTGGGCGGTGGGACATGATGGCCTGAACTCGACGCATAGTCGCTACCCATATTGCGACTCGCACGGAATGATGCAACAAGGCTGGCTAGCTGATCCGGTGGGCAGGTCTGAATCTGATATGCCACGTCTAGGCCAGCCTGATCCTGTGTCTGCGGAGTGAACCCTCCATGCTGCTCATGGAAACTCTGAGGTCCCGATGAAGTCCTAGCATGGTTGGGCGATGGAAACTGTCGGGCGGGCTCGGGTGAGAAGGAAATCAAACCTGTCGGGGACCCCGAGGGGAACGGAATCTGAGACCCAAGATCATCGTATGCGGCCTCCCCGCCAACATCAACACCGGCCTGATCATGTGCCTCGTCGCCATCGTCCTGACCTGCACCAACCTCCTCCTGATAGGCGTACTCCTACTCCTCCTCAACCCTCTCCTCGTCCATCTGTGCAGCCGCACCAGCAAACAACATCCGAGTCATCCTGCGCTGGTCTTGACGCCTCACCTTACCCCTCGCAGGTGCTGCCGTCCTAGGCGGAGGCTCTCGTGCAGTCCTCCTGCGGGGAGCAGGTGCATCGTCAGGCATAGTGAGCTCATCTCTGGCGTGAACAGGCTCAGCAGGTAGATCAGGTGGAGCCATGTTCCAACGTGGGTCGTTGAGATCTGCAGTCCCAGCGAGAAACCTGATCCCAGCCGCGGCACCGACATACCAATCGTAGTACTGCCGGGTGCCTCACGGATCCCCATAGGCATGTACAGTGCCAATCACCTTTGGTGACCTCCTGCGCCGCCACCCATCATACCAAGTCTGTAATCTCGTGGGCCACCACACATCGTCTCCTCTAGCTGTGGTGTTCATGAACCGGGTCACGTCCACTGGGTGTCTCGGAATTGGCTGCTCTCCACCGTACTGCCTGATGACTCGGTCAATGTGATGCATCCCCACAAAGTTGAAGCACACCATAGGCACAACTGAACGTCATGTGTGTACCTCGCCCTGTGAACGCATCCAATCGGGAATAAGTGCCTGTATCCCAGGAGTATCATACGGAGTCCAGCGAATCTGACCACATGGAAATGTGTTATTTCATCACAAGAATAACATATTGCATAACATAAACAAGAACACTTAATCATATACACATACCTCATCCCAACTGAGTCTGTCTATCCTAGCACGCCACCGCAGCAGACGTCCCTCCTGTACATCCCGGGATCCCTGCCGAGCTCCAATAAGCCTGTTCAACGTAGGATCAAACGTTAATCACACATGTGTTACAAAAATAAATGAAATATAACTGACACAAATGCATATTCACATACCTCTCAGCCAACGGCCAGGCATCTACATCCACATTAGGGGGCACATGCCGGGAAATCTGTGGTAGATCCACGACAATATCAGCGGGACACATCCGGCAATATCCGTCGTACTACGCTCTGAAGCACTGCAGAGTGATCTGTACGTCCACGCAAGTACAGCACTCCCCCACGAAAGTCGGGCACACGCGGTGAGGTCCCTCAGCAACGGGAGCCATCGAATGTGAACCAAGTTGCCGGACTTATCCGGCATGAGGTACCCACCAATGAAGAGCATGATGTAGCATCTGGCGTACTGACGCAGCGTGTCGGGATCGGCGTTTACCGGGATGTGCTGCAATCTGTCCCGTAGCCACGTCATCTTAATGACAAAGGACTCCTTCTGTCAGTTGGGTGGAACAGCTGGGCGTGCACCTAGGTACTGCTCTACCATGTCCCATAGGTCCTGCTGATGATGCTCCTGGAAATCCCGCATACACCCTCCAACAGGATCTCCATCCGTACGGAGACCAAGGTGGTATGCCACATCCTACAGCGTGATGGTGCACTAACACCACAGGAGGCAAAACGTATGCGTCTCCGGCCTCCAGTGCTCCACAAATGCAGATAAGAGTGGAGCATCGAAGGCGAAGTCCTGCAGCTGGATGACGTGCCCGAATCCGACCTCTATCATGAACGGCATCAGCCTCTCCGGAACAGCCATAAGGAAGGAACAGCGCCTGGGCAATAACACTTTCTCTCTCTACAACAATTTAATAATATTTTATGTTAAA